GTTATAGCTTCCGAAGTTTATAGCACATCAATTATAGCAAACCAATAATATATAATGTTTTTTTGGCGCGTTGCGTTGGTTATATTTGTAGGCGTGTGGAGAGTTTCTCGAAATTTCAGTTTATGTAACAATACTGACGCCAACCCTAGCGTTTACGTACACATATATATTGTTGGTTCTTACACTAGAGAATCTTCTACAACTTTAGAGAATAGAAATATTCAACAGTATAAGTTGTGTACCTTTCTAAATATAAATTTAATTTAAAGAAACACCGATATTAAAATAAATATAAAATAATAAATCCGTCACAATTTACATCAGGTGTATACACCATGTAAAATTATGTTACACAAATAATTTTAATTTTTAGTTATTTTTTTTAGATGGATTCAGGCTGAAACTAACAAAACCTTCATTTTGTTATTTTAGATTTGCTGGCAAGTCTATCTGCAACGTAGAAGTTTCCATTAAGACATTTGGTTACGACCTTCTTCAAGGGACTTAATACATAGAAGTGCAAATATATATGTGTTCAGATTTTTTGTTTCAGATTCGAGAAAAATAAGTTGCAGAAATGTTTACTGACAGAATGGGGTTGTCGGCGTAACGTTTCGATCTGCTATGGTGCCTCTCGCCATCAGCTTCAATATTTATTTATTTAAATGCTTCTTTTAGCTCCAACTCAAGTTGTGAATGAGGCTTTAACTCTAACCTATTAAAGCAATCTATTACCATATATTTATCTCCGAACAATTAACTTGTCGAATTTCACAATTTTGGAGAGTTGCCTTTAGATCAATGATCAAATTATTCCAGTTTATTCGCTGAGACATGAACTGAAACTGATCTTTTTATTATATAATGAGAGACAACTAATTTTTTTATTCTTCCTAAGATGTGATATGAAGAACAGCTGTGGACTACCAGCGTCCAGCTTGGTATTTGGGGACCCTTGTCCTGGAACGCTGAAGTATTTGGAGGCTCAGTACCGATGTGTGCCAGGTACTGTAATGTATAAAATATCTCGGTGTTTGCACTACATTACTCTTATTATGTTGTTTAATGCATTCCAATAGAGGGACCACCCACTCAGAATTGTTTAGAAAGTGCTGCGAACTACAGGGCATTTTTGTTGTTTTTTGCGCTAGTGTAACTTATATTATGCCATTGTTAGGTTATTTCATGTATTTTAATAAAATACAATACATATGTGATTCCTGGACTTTTTATTTAGCCAAATACTTGAATGACTAGATTAAATTTGAATATTTGCCCAAAACAGGCCAGTTTAGTTTTTCTGTGTTTGACTTAGCCAACACATTTAAGGAACACAAAACAATAAGATAAGCTTTAGTAATAAAGTCGTGTTATTATAGGATTATACTTTATTTTCAAGATTTGTGTTGTTTTTTTTTCTTTTGTACGAATTATAAATAATTCAACTAAAACAGTTTTTTGAAATAAATTATTTGCAATGCCCACAATTATATCATAATCTTTACCAAGTAAAAACAGCTGTTTCTAATCATTCACTTTTTAGCATAGTTCTTTTAAAATATTTAAGAAATGAGAAACAAATTTTTAAATAAATAGGCAAGTAAACTAGTTGTTAAATAATTCATGTTGTGCATAACATATTGAACTTAAAAGTGGCATTTTCTTGCACCAAAACTATAGTGTTAACAAATTCACAGTACTGGTGTATAAGATAATAAGCTTATTTTCTTTCAACTCTTGGCCTGGCTATTAGGGCGCTCAACTCGCAACCTGCGGGACGCTAGTTCGAATCCAATCACTGAACATGTTCGCCCTTTCAGCCGTGGCGGTGTTATAATGTGACGGTCAATCCCACTTTTCGTTGATAAAGAGTAACTTAAGAGTTGGTGTTGGGTGGTGCTGACCACTAACCCCCACTCTCTAATTTATCATTTATAAATTAGGAGCGGTTAATTCAGATAGCCTTCTAATAGCTTTGTGCGAAATTCAACAAACATCTGACTCTTGACCCTTTAATAAGGTTGAAGGGTTTAGTAGTAAATCAAAGCTTTCTTCAAAAACAGGCATGATTTCAGCACTCACGCAAATCAGGAGTAAAATAGAGACTGCAAATGGCTCAAATATAACTGTCTCTGAGATACACTTTGAGAAAGCCTTAAAAAAGTTTGTATAAATTGTAAACAAGAATAATTGAATAATTTATTTAGAAAAAGCTGTTTTGTTTGTAATTAGTTACGAATCGAACAGTAGTTTTTGAAAATGATGTTTAGTTTTACATTCTTTTAACGAATCATTCATCTCACTAATAGAATATTTACTTTAATTCTTATTTTTAGAGATTATTTCAACAACCACCAGGCGTCCACCCCCGAAAATATTTTTTCCAACAACACCTCCACCAAACACCAAGTCAACCACAGAGTTTGGAAACTCTTTAAAAACATCTTCCACTGGGATTACACCATCTTCCACAACAACTGTTTCTTCAGCGTTAAAACCAACGAGAAGCTCAGTACAAGTGATCTTAACAGGTGCTTGTTTTTTGTTTGTTTTTAAATAAACTATTCGATAACAATTTATAAAACTGACGGCATTATTTTCTAATTTAAGGTTTAAACTCAAAGCTGAATTAAGTTGATTGAGCTTATGTCCTCTGTGTGTTGGTAAGCAGACTCAATATTATATGACTGGTACGTTCACTACTGGCTTTAGTTAAGATCTTAAATAATTCAATGAAAATGCTGCGTCATACAGATGGTTGAGTGTGTAATATTAAAACGATTTTGGACTTGCAAATCAGCAAGTCACATGACAATCACAGCTGATATAAAGTTACAGTAGAAATGTGTCAGAAATATATTTTAACATTTGTTGTTTCGTAGCTAGTAAAGATGCTAATAACAACTATGGTTTTCTGGAAGTGTCTGTAATAGCCCTTTCCAGCATAAGATATTTATATTGTTACGTATCTGCTTGTTTGTTAATTTCCGGTAGAAATTATTTTCAAGGAAGTCTTTACAAGTCTTTTCTTGATTAAACCAGTTTATTCTTTCTCGAT